GAGACATATCAATCAGCGTTAGAGAGGAGCGGGCAGATTCAAGCAGCGTGGCACACACGCACACTTTAAATTTGGCAAAACGGACCCCTCTTCTTCAAAACTTCAAGTTCTTACATTTCTTTACCCCTTCTGGATTTTTTTAATCTTCAATTTAAATATTATTTCTTTGGGGAAGGGGAAGTACAAATATCATCTTTCCTAGGGTCCTCTTCTCCCTTCTATCCCCCACTTGCCCCTCACAGATGAGGACGTTAAAGCCTGGACCACTGATTTTTCTGACCTTAGAGGGCCCCTTGCAGGATTAAGCCTCACACTTGTCAAGCTTCTTCTAGTATTCTTCCCATGCCCAGCAAACACCTGTTAACTAACTGGAAGGAAAAAAATAGAGACTTGTAGGGGGAAGTGGGGTGAGGGAATAAAAGAGTAGGTACCTCTCTGACCCCAGAGCGAATTGTAATCCACTGCAAATCTCGTTCCAGATTATAATAACAGCTTGTAGAGAAGAGAAAGGAAAGAAACCCTAAGTCCATTCTACCTCCAACATCTGCTTCCCCTCCATTGTTGGGTGACCCATGTGGAGTGGCTGTTGGTCTCCATTTCTGCAGCCGGATGGAAGAAAGATGGTGTAATGCCAGTCAAGCGCCAAGCAGATGAAGAGCAAGTTGTGTTATTTGTCTGGCAATTGATCTAGCCAGCCTTTGGCTCTACTGCTAGAGCTAATTTCATGCACAGGTGCCACGTTATTTACTGATTTAATCATCTCCTTCAGTGCCACTTCTCAGCATTGCACTTTTAAGTAAAATAATGTTCCTGTGCATGTGTTTCGATTACAAATGTCAGTAGAGACAGAAATGAAGGTTTGAAATTTCCCACTAGGTATTAGCTCTCCCTGGCTCAAAACACGCACGGCTGCTGGCAATCGGCTTTCATGCAGCAGCTGTGGTGTGTTGAGTGGTTGGGCGAGGACTAGGATAGAGGCTCACTCATTCATTCAACAAGCATTCTGTCCTAGTGTGGATTCTCGGGGAAGCAGATCCTGAGTGAAGGATTTGAGAACAAGTCGTTTACTGGGAAGCTGAAGAAAATACTGGTTATGAAGTGAGGAAGTAAGAGAAAGGAAGGCAGCCAATAAAGGGTGCCTTGTCCAGTCAGCAGCCACTGTGGGGGCTGAGTCATGCTGGGAAACTTTGGGAGCCAGTGGAGAACTCATGCCTTAGAGTTATCCCACCGGAGGGGTGAGGGAGCTGGGGTGTTTGTACACCGACTCAGTCATTGAGTGAGGGCTGCTCCCAGGGAGTGTGACTTCCTGGGATTCCTGCCGTGCTGCTGGAGGAGGCGAGGCAGGCTCTGGTGGCCAGAGAAAGTGCTCAGCCAAAGGAGTGGAGGTGTTGGCAGTTGGAAGAGGGACCAGCCTGGACTAACATGATAAGGACAAGAGGCTACAGGTGGGGCCATGACAGCATCTGCTACATAGTGTTTGAGGACTTCCTGTGTGCTAGTCACAGTCATATAATGGTTACCAAGATAGATTTTGTCTCTGTCTTCACAGAGCTTACAGCTTAGTGGAGGAGACAAAGAAGTAACCAGGCAGTGCCCAAAAAATGGGATTTTCTTGATGTAGAAAAGAGAATTGTGTCAGAGATGGCCTCCTGGAGAAGGTGACATCTAAGCTAACCTGCATTAGAACCAGAAATATTCCCAGTTGGGGGGAGCAGCATGTGCAAAGGTCCTGAGGAGAGTGAATTGGTGGCAAACTTTGAGAAACTATAAGAAATTTGATATGCCTGGATTATAGAGTTCAAGGTGAGGATTCTGGAGGAGAACTTGGAAAACTGTTTGAACAGTTCCTAGAAGCAGTTTCTTCCCAAGACCACATCTACTTCCAATTACTATTTCAAGTCCTTAAGTGGTTGTCCCTATCTTCTTCCTCTCTATTTTAATCTTGCATGCAATCTTTTCTCTTATATATATTCCAACAAAACAGAACCTTCTAAACATTTTCAATAGAAAACCTAACAAAGGTTTATTTGATTTTGTTGCAGGTTAAATTAACATGTTATTGGCAAATTATTTCTGTTCTTAGATTTAATGGCTAGTTCGAGCAGTATTTATAAAGAGCCCCTTCCCTTAAGATACTCAAAATATGTAATGGGGTGTGGCATATTGTATTTTCCAAAGATGGCTGCAATGGTACCTCCTAACCCACACTCTTTTTACAACATGATTTGACACTCCTCCCAATGAGAGGTGGGCCCTATGTTTCTTCTTCTTAAATTTGGATGGGCTTGTGACTACTGTGACATTCGAGGCTAGGTCATAAAAGGCAGGAGTCCCCTTGGTTTTCTGGGGATACTTGCCTTTGGAGCCCTGAGCCCCCATGTAAGAAGTCTGAGGCTGCCATATGGTGAGGAAACCCAGGTCACATGAAGAGGTCGTGTTTAGCAGTTCTGGCCTATAGCCTCAGTTGAGGTGCCAGCTGACGGCTAGCATCAACTGCCAGACATAAGAGTGAGGACACCTCCGGATGATTCCTGCCCTCAGCCGTGGAGTCATTCCCAGCCTCTGAACCCGCCTAGCTGAGGCTCCTGCCCTCGTAGAACTGAGATAAGCCATCCCCGCTGTGCCCCTCCAGAATTCTTGGCCCACAGAATCCATGAGTGTAGTAGGTTGAGTGTTCTCACCCACTCAGCTTTGGGGTAGATTGTCGCTCAGAAGTACATGATTCTTACAGTGGGAGGACATGCTTACAAAGCTGAGTCACTTAGAGGACAATCTACCACCATATGTAAAAGGAGCGAAGTTTGTGGTACAGATCATAAGCACCATATAGAAGGTCACAGAAAGGAGACATCACAGTTGTCTGGAGTTTTCAGGGAAGACTTCTTGGAGGAGTTCAGACTTGAATCTAGCCTTGAAAGACTGTTGACCACCCTGCAGTCACTTCCTCTTCCAAGCAGAACCCCACATTTCCTTTGATAAACTTCTCCTCTCCCCTTCTCATCTCCTCGGGATTGATGCTTCAGCCCAATTGGGCTGTGACTGGATTAAACCAGGACTGGTTCAGAGCCAAGGAGTCCACACATGCCTAGGACTTTGTGGAGAGAAAAGCTTCCTGTGTTTTGCTTGTAGGACACCAAAAGACACTCAGTGTGGTACGAAGTTGTGAGACAGCCCTTCTGCTTCAAACAGGGAGCCTGGGGCTGCTGTGGGGAGGGTGTGGGCACTGGGTGGAAGCCTTGCCAAGGAAAGCAAATTGGAGAGACAGAAGGGAGCCAGGGAGAAACCAGGCCATTGGTGACATCATTTGATCTGCTGCATAAACCCTTGCTGGAAGCCAGTCCTAGCCCAAGACTTTTCAGTGTCCTTTATTATGCAAACTAGTTTTAATCGGATTTTCTGTGGCTTGCAGCAAAAAGAGTGCTAACTGATAGCAATGGGTAGGATTCCTTACCTGTCGAGGAAGTAAAGCATTTCAGGCAAAGGGAAAGGGACATATCTTCCAAATGTGTATCATGATAGGCAAAGCCTGTTAGATAACAAGGGAGAAAGTTCCCAAGTCAAAATATTTTTTTGGTGAAGTGTTTCCCAAATTCACATTTTTTTCTTTAGTTGATCAATAAATATGTATAAGCCCACTGTATGCGAGGCACTGTGCTGTGTTTGGGGATGAGACATCAGTAAGAGAGTGGTGGTCCCTGCCTTTGTGGAACTTCCATTCCAGCAGGAAATACAGACATTATGGTGGTTATAAATGGGTTTGGGGTGCAGGAGGGATGGAAGATGCTAGGGAAGCTATAAGGGGGCCTCACTTAGGTTGGGAGGAGGGGAAGGAAGGCTTCCCTGAGGAAGTAACATTTAAGCAGGGCTTAAAAGATGCGTTAAGATTTAATTAGTCCGTGGGGGAAAATTCTAGGTAGAGAGAATAGCACATATTTGGCTATAGGACTTCTAAGGGCTTTTAAAGTGTAAATGTGCATTGTGAACTCTAAGAGGGGCTGAGATACGCAGCATTCCCTGAACTTGTTGACATGGAGCTCTGATTTATTTAAGGAGCATCTTTTAGGACTTAGAAAAAACAGGAATGTCTTCAGGAATGAGCAGAAGTGTTCTAGGGGCAGAGGGAACATGGTCCTGATTCAGGTAAAGACCTACATGTGAGAAGAGAGGGTGATAGATAGGTAGGTAGGTAGGTAGGTAGGTGGATAGATAGATAGATAGATAGATAGATAGAAAGAAAGAAATGAATGAGATGGATGGATGGATGATGGAGGGAGTGAGAAATATTAGACAAGGCCCAGAGGGGTCAGGATAGGGAGGGCTTTGAATGTGAGGATAAATAGTTGGTGTCTGATGTAGATTCATGGCTGAGGTTGTCTGTGAGAAGTTTGGGAACAGGAAAGAGGTTGCAGTGATCCAGGCATGAAGTGATGAAATTCTAGGCTAAAGTGGGGACAGTGGGGAGAGAGAAAGAAATGAATTCAGGAGACACCACAGAGGAGGACAGGCAGTTAGTAATAATAGATATCTAGAGTGAAAAGAAGGGCATGAGGAAGCACGGTTTAAGGCCTGGGTTTCAGGAGGAAGAGGATCTCAAGAGAGAAAAGGAAAATCTCTTTCTCTCTAGCGATTACTAGTTTACTGCACAATGGCAGAAAAATTTCAAGTCACCAAGTTCCTAAGCATTTGCCAAATCATTAGCAGTACTGGTAAATCTGGGGAAGTGGGGAGAGATGTCAAAAGTCATGGTAAATAGAAGCTTGGAGATTTTCAGTGGATTTTAATCAGCGGTGTCATCCATCTCCTCGACCCCTGAGAGCTGCCTCTATTTTTGTTCACAATGGTCCACAGGAGTGACATCGTCTACTGAAAACCTGTGCAGCCACATTTCATTAAGAGGAGAGAGTGATAGAAAGTTCTTTTCAGGTCAGGATGTTATAACAGATGAAAAAGAGAAGATGTTTAAGAGAAAAATAACTCAGTAGTATACCATTCATCACTTTCTCCCTCTCTCTCCCTCTTTTATCTTGCCTGACCTAATACCCTGAAACATCTGTGATAAGAAGCAAAGGCACAGATAGCTTGCTATGAAATGGCGTTCTCGCGGAGCAGCAGCCGTGATTAATATAGCCCTGCACACAAGTGATGTTTTTATTCCCTAACTACCACTCGTTCCTTTGGGGAATCGGCGGCCGTGCAGGTTCCCTGGTGATCACAACGAGACGCCCATTGCAGCCTGTTGCAGATTCTGAAAGAATCTTTTGGAAACCCATGACCCAGAATCATTTTGCCATCCCCTCATAATTACATTTGAGGTTGAATGCCACACTTGACAGGAACGTTTCCTCTGTCACCCTTTGTCCTCCTATAGAAGACACTGTCGATGAATCACTGTCACCCGGAATCCTGACTCATGGCCCCCAGAGAAGTCCAGTGGGGCTTTGCTGGGACTGGAGTGACCATGCATACTTCATCCAATTCCGGGAACATGTCCTGAACATCTCCTCTGCACCAGACACAGCGCTGAACGGGGCCAGACATGGAACAACTAACACCACAACCAATCAGCCTGTGACGAGGCCTACGGAGGCTTGGATGAGGGGCTGGGACACAGGAAGGGAGCCATCACTTGACTCTGGGGATTAAGGCAGGTGTCAAGAGGAGGTGACACTTGACCTTGAAGAGTGAGCAGGATGTTGACAGGTGGAGAAAGATATCCAGGAAGAGAGAACAGCGTGAGCCTATGACCTTATCAGAGGAGAAAATAACAAGGGAAGGCCCAGCCCCTGACATCAAGGAGTGGTGCGGCCCAAAGATCAGGCCTTGTAAATGTCATGCTCACTTCTTTATGAATAACAATTTAATAATAGCTGAATTCTAATGAGTATTTACTATAGTTACCCTGCTATGTGCTGTACATGAATTTTCTCTTTTAATTCTGTGCAGCCTAATGAGGCAGTAAATGGTATTACTTTCCTTTTACAGATGAGGAAGCTGAGACCTGGAGAATTTCGGAACGTGCATGAGGTCACCCAGCTGGCAGCCCTCAACCCGAATCTGTTTGTCCCATGGCCCAGGCTCCATCCCCTCTCCCTTGCAGACACAGAGTATGGTAGCACACGAGAGAGAGTTTCCAAAGCTGACTGAGCTCTTTAAACGCGCGGATGCTCAGACCCCACTCCCAGAACTGTGACTCAGTGTGCTGTGGGGAGAGGCCAATACTCTGTGCTTTTAGAGACTTCCAGGTGAGTGACAGGAAGCAATGACGTAGCAGCTATGACGTTGCAGAGCGGTTTCTGTCCAAACCTGCCCCAGAGCTTTGCTGCCCTTTCAGTTCCCATCCCAGTGGGAAGGATGTTCAGTCAGCACCTAAAAGAAGGGGCTTCTCTACCTGCCCCTGCTGCCAACCGGCTATCTGATTTGGGACGAGTCTCGTGTCCTCTTTGGGTTTTAATTCTTTCTATGGCAGAGTGGGGGGTGGACCCACGACTCCTGAGATGGCCTCAGGCTTCGTTGTTCAACAGTTCTGCTGAGCAGTGACAGAACCCCTGCTATTAGGAGATGACAATGCAGAATTGAAGCTGAGACGTCTATATTCATTTTCCAGGGCTACTATAACAGAGCACCACAGACTGCGGGGCTTAAACAGCAGAAAGGTACCGTCTCACAGTTCTGGAGGCTCGAAGTCCAAAATCAAGGTGTTGGCGGTGTTGCTGCCTCCTGAGGGCCGTAAGGGGTAATCTGCTCCAGGCCTTTGGTGGTTCGCTGGCACGCCCTGGCGTTCCTTGGCTAGTAGAAGCAGCCCTCAGTCTCTCCCACCATCTTCACGTGCTGTTCTCCCTGTGTGTGTGCCTATCACCACGTTTCCCCTTTTCATCAGGGGGCTGGTCATATTGGGGTAGGCACCCACCCTACTCCAGTGTGGCCTCATCTTAACTAATTACATCTGCAGTGGCCTTATTTCAAATAACGTCACCTTCTGAGGTCCTGGGGGTTAGGGCATCAACATATGAATTTTTAGAGGACCCAATTCAATACCTAAGAAGGTTCAAGTGAAAAATACCAATAAATAAACCAAAGTCACTTGAAATTGAGTTAGGTTTCTGCATCAGTCAAGAATATTTGTTGCAAACAATAGGATCCACTTATGGCAGTTTATGCTGGAAAGGAATTTATTAAAGGATGCTTGTTAACTCCAGGGGGCCGCTGGGTCAGGAAGGACGCCCACTTTGCACTGTGGCCCTGCTCTAGTGGAGGGCCTGTCACCACTGCTAGGCACAGACTTGAGGCTTCCGGGACATCACTTGGTGGTGGGTGTAGGATCTGGGGCCCTGCCCCCGGCACAGCCAGGGAATGCCCTGTGCTGTGCCTGCTGCCTTACCTGATGGCCTCCTCCCAGAGCCTCACACATGTATGTCTCATACTCTCTTAGTGGGATAATTGGGACGAACTACATTGAAATAGAAAATGTGCAGACCCTTTGACTCAGCAATTCCACTCCTACGAGTTTTTTTCCTACGGAAATAATTCAGTAAGTGCTCAGAGATATATTTATAAATCTGTTTGTTCATCAGAGTGTTGCTTATACAAACCAAAACACCTCAATATCCATCAGTGGTAGATCCGTAAATAAAGCTTGATGCAAGTGTGTCCAGGAATGAGGCTATATTAAGTGTAATGATATAAATCAGCAGTTCTCAGCTCGGTTAGACCCAATGCCCCTTTTTATAATAAATTTTTATAATACTCCCTTTACTGAAATGAAATTCGTAGACGATATAACCTACACATGTGATTTTTAAAAAATCAATATAATGACACCATACTCACACACATAAGTTTAAAAAATCAATATATTGCCTTAACTGTAACATAAAAGATAAATAAAGGGAGAGGACTTGATGATGAAGTGTTTCAACATGTAAATGCACAGGCGTGAGTACACAGGAGCCGGCCCGAATGTCCCGGTTGGCCCCTGTGTGGAGCCCCGTGGACGTCTCGGAATGGCCGCAGACCTCTCAGCTGTGTGCACGGGGATCCAGGTCTCAGGAGCTGCATTGCTGTTGATGACGGGATTTGCCAAGGTGACAAAGCAAGGTACAGTCCTCCCTCAGTATCCCACCATGTTCCTGGAAGGGGTAGTGTATGTTAAAACCATGCAAAAATTATTTGAAATTAAATTAAAATGAAATTTGAATGTTAGCTCAGATTATTCTAAACAGGCTTTTCAACTACACAAATCTCTATGGTAATATTTCAAAATTATGAGATATACTTCTCCATGTGAGGGACTGACTTGCATAATATAGGATGCTCAGCATTGCTGAACCCCCACCCACTAAATGCCAGGAGCCCCCCAAACAAAAAGCCCCCACAAACTTCTAGCACATTCTCGCTATGGGGCAGAATGACCTCTTTGAGAACAGTTACCACTGATCTGTGTTTATTGACATAGAAAAAAGTCTACAATATGTATTTTCAGTACAATGTCTGATTAAGTAAAAATGTTGGCTTGAGGATCAGCATCCATGACAAGATTCCATTTCTGAAAAAAGAAAAACATAATTAAAGAAAGAGTGTGTGAAAGAAAAATGTGCGTATGTCCGCAGAGGAAAAGCTCTGAACATGTGTAAACATACGTATTAACCAGAGTTGTCTCTGTTGATGAGATACAGGTAATTTTCATGTCCTGGTATCTATTTTTCTGAACTGACTAATTTTTATAAGGATATATTACTTTTAGAATCCGAAAAGTAATTTGGCAAACCATAAAATAAGGCAGGTTTCTCACCTCCAGCACTGTTGATATTTCGGACTGGATGATCCTTTGCTGTCCTGTGTGCCGTGGGATGTTCAGAGGCATCCCTGGCCTTGACCCACTAGATGCCAGGAGCAGACACGGCCCCCACCCCCAGCGTGACTCAAGAACATCTTCAGACATTGCCTCCTGACCCCTGGGGAGGCAGAATCGCCCCGGTGAACACCCACCGTTGCTGAGGGGTCAAAGCTGGGGATCCAGTGTCCCGCAGCCTGGGTTCCAATCCAGCGGCACCATTTGTAATCTGTGCAAGTGACTGAAGAACTCTGCCTCGGATTCCTCGTCCGTAAAACAGGTGATGGCACCTCATAGGGTTGCTTGAGAATTAAATTAGAAAATGTGCATTTGAATGATTACCACAGTTCCTGGAATAGAATAAAATGCACAAAAATGCCTTCATTATCTAAAGAAAAAAGTCTACTTCTAGACATGGGGGAAAACATTATAAATAGATAAGTGCACCTGGTATAAGGAAGGAGTTGGACTCCGCAGGCCGCTGTCCCCAAGGAACTGGACTCTTCCCATGGCCCTGGGAGCTCCTCTCTGGGCTGGTTCTTTCCTGGGATGTGGATAAAGTCTCAGCAGGTCCCAAGCCTTTTTCGGTGCCTCCAGCCACGAGAACAGTCTTATTTCCATAATTAAAATGTTTAGTCTCATGCGTAAAACTCCAAACTTACCTTAAAGGTAGTGTTTCCCCTCTCCCAAGTCCGCATGGGGGAGGGATTCTGGGGGTTTCTCCCTTACTCGCCTTGTCCCCCACGAGGCTGCGCCTGGGACCCCTCCAGGTTCCACCTCTGCGAGGAGGGGACAAAGCCTTCCACGGCCGGCACTGCTCGCTCTGCTCTGAAGTGCTCTGGGCTGGGCAGACGCCCAAAGCCGTTCTTCTTGCGGAGGGTTGCTTTGGTCAGTCTCTCAGGGGCTCCCCCACAGCCAGCCCCCTGCTGCAAATCCCAGGACGCAGGCGATGCCCCTTCATCTTGCTGGCTGCTTCTGAAGCTGCTTCAGCACCCGGCTGTCCACCCTCTGGGGGTGCCCCACCGCTGCAGGCAGCCTGCAGAACGGCTCACATCTGATCTCCAAGAAGCAGCCTCAGCGCGCTCACTGCCTATCGTGGGTGAAGCGCGTCCTCCACTCTGGGCCTGGGGGCTGTGCGGGCACCAGCGCACAGCTGTCCCTCAGTACCCGAGCCCCACGGTGGCGCCGAAGCCTGGCCACTTGGCTTAAGGTGAGGGGGAGCAGCCTGCCCCTTCGGCCATGGAGTGGAGAGGGATAAGGGGCGAGGGGATCTGCGGGACTCCATCAGTTCTTCCTGTAGGAATCGCTTGGCTCTTGGCTGTTCTCTGGTCCCTTCTATGGAGAATGGCTGATGCTGGTGGCCCGAATGGGTGCTGCGCAGCCAGACTCGCATCATTTAGGGTGTGGGGGGACATGGTCTTGGAGGCTTCAGCCAAAACAGAGAGAAAGAGTTTGCTTGACCATCCTGATGGCCTCCCCTCCTGGGTCACCCGTATGACAGATGGCTTCTCTGTGGTCCTGAGGAGCCCCGGCCACATTCTCTGACCTTTTCTCAACAAGACAGCGTTTATGTGAGGCAGGGCCCAGTTAACAGCCAGGCTCCTCAGGAAATCCGTGTCTTGTGAGTGACAGGCTCCTTAACTGAACGAGAGTGATTTCTCTAGAAACTAGGCTGCCTGGGCCTAGGGCCAAATCCTGCCAGTGTTGACTCCCTGACTACAGGCTCCTTAGGAAGTCACCTTCAAATCTCCAAGTCCACATTTAGTGTGAGCTGGGGCCGGCCTCGAACTCTTAGATGTACAGAATAACGAGCACGTTCAGGGTGATGCGTCAGATCCTGCAGGGCCTGAAAAGGCTACCTCAGCTTCCAAAGCTGCTTAGAGGGGTCTGGTTTGCTGTAGATTAAGGCATTTAAATGTTCTAAAGTGGGAAAGTGATTTATAAACGCAGTGGAGTGAACTTGGTGGAGACTGCTAGGACTTCAACACCCGGCCCCCAAGGCCAAGTTAGAGCAGAGGTTCTCAAGCAGGGTCCCCAGACCAGCGGCGTCAGCACAGCATCACCTGCGGACTTGTTAGACATGCACATTCGAGGGCCCCACCCCAGACCTACCCCAGAAACTCTGGGGATGGGGCCCAGCAATTCATGTTTTAACAAGCCCTCTAAGAAGCTTGATGGCACCAGAGTCTAAGAAGATGCTTCAGAAATACCTGGGGACCTGGGGGGCTCCAAGCACACCCTGTGATTTGCCTGGGGTCAGGATCCCCCAAGACAGAAATTTGAGCTTGCTCCTCAGGTGGAGTTTAGCAGGGGGTGTGGGTAATGGGATAGTGAGAAGCTATGTTTCCTTCACCATGACCAGCTTTTCCTAGAGTGCTCACGAGCCCAGAGAAGAAAAGGACTATATGATAAAAATGGAAGAGGTATATCTCTCTGGAGCCCAAACAATGAAGCTAGGGTACCTTCTGGAGCATAGCTGGGAAGCAGACATCGGATGAGGAAGCAATGGCAGACTGGCTGTATTGATCCTGGTCTGGGTGGTACAGCCCCCTCTGGGGTATACTGATTGGGCACTGATTATGGGTCACTCGTAGCGTGCTCAGCCAGGTAAATAAGCGTACAGAATCAGCATTTGCATTTAGAAGCAAATGCACCACACAGAGTGAAAGAGAAGGTGATGTGTAGACAAAGGATTAGCTCACACTTGGAAAATAGCTGGAAGGCACAGACAGCAGTCAGAGCACAGCCTCTGGAAGCATTTGGGACAGGAGTGAATGACCATTCTCTCCCCATTTGCCCCCAAAGTCATTACTATGTACATCACAATTCAATATTCTTACTTGAAAAGGAACTCTGATCCATCAATAAAAGGTTAACTTATACCCATGCTCTTGTATTAACAATATGGGAAAACATGAAAAAAACTTAGAGAAATTCACATTAAAAATGGCGAAGGCAGTGTACAGGATTTGGGACCTCACTCTCCATTCGTCATTTTGTGCCTTCTAATCTCTTCTCAGATAATAGTATTTTGAACTTGACTGTGGGATGCTAAAATTAAACAAAAAATTGAATGTCTTGATTTGGGTGTCACTATTGGGGTTATAGCTGTCATTTCTTTCTCCATGGGGAAAAATAGTCTCCTGTTAATGGTCCTATTTATGCTCAGATTATAACAGCTCCAGATACAAGAGGGCATCTTAATATATTCTGTCATATTTTCTCTGTGCCGTAATTTCTAGATCACTTCAAATCTCCATTTGACCATCACCACCCTCAATTAAAAAAAAATTGTCAAGAGTTTAATAGGGCCTTCAAAATCCATTTAGCATAAATAAAGCATTATTGAAGGGCTGTCCCTCAAACACTAAAGCCGGCTCTGTGAGACAATGTCACCGAGTGGCCCCAGGGTAAATGCATTCCATTTAAGCATCGTTTTGTTTGCCACAGAATTATCATAAATAGGTAGGGAATTCTCTGAAATAAGGCTTATTCTGGATAGAGTCAATCCACTTTCAATTTTTGTGTGAAAATAAGGATGTTTGTCTGATAAACGAGTCCTTTTTGGGGGATGGTTTCTCCCAAGTTTGTTTGGCAGTTATCGCTGAGGTCTGGAATGTATGTCAGACTCGAGCCGTTGACAAATGAGGCAGTGTCTCCCGACAGCCCCAGTGCACCCTCGAGGGACAGGCACTGTGCTGCTCCTCTGCACAGTACTTGTCCTCTTCTTCAAGGTGTGAGGTTTGGCCATGATGATCTTCAGTTCTATTTTATTTCAACAACTCAGTCTTTCTGTCAGCAACAGTCTTGGAATAATAATATCCAGGTTTGAGTCCTGGTTCTGCCACATACGATGTAACTATAGGCCATGTCACAGTACTTAAAAGACGTGAGAATAACATTATGAAATCTCTTTTATATGTATACTATTATATCATGTAATAGAAAGAACAAGAAAATCCTCTCTCATTATATTTGAGACTTGCATGCAAGGCCATTCAGGTACCAATTAAAGAGGAAAGAAGCATAATTTTTATTCTTCCTAAACTCTGGATGTTCATCTTAACCTGATTGCACAAGGATGAAAATGTTGGGAAAGGACAGGGGAGACTGGGTCCTCGGGGTGATTTGCACAGAACCCTGCATCCCACAAAGGACAACGCTCACCCTCTTAGTGGGATCTACCTGAACCCCCTTTGGAGGGTATAGACAGGGTTCTGGGACCAGGATAGGCTCCAGAGTGAGTTGTGGTGAGAAGAACTGCCAAAATAGTGCCTCTAAGCTCCACCGTGGCCATTGCCACTCCCTGTCAGAGTATGCCCTTGTCTAGTTGCTTTCTGCACCAGAGTGATGGACATTTGCACTTTCATGTCTGGGATTTTGGCAAACTAAAGCAGGCCACCAGGTTTGTAGAGATAGGACCCAGGTTATGTAGGTTACCGTGGAGAAAACTTAGTCTGGGGAAGAGAAGGCATCCCAACATATGACAAAGGACCTCACTAAATAGGACCCAATAAATATTTGTTTATTTAGTCAGTGAAAGACGTAGGGAGAGAAGTCAGGTGGTCACTTGATTACCCACAGGAGCCCAGGCCAACCCCGAGTCCAGCTGGTCATCATTGGGTCCACAGTGGGATATTTACAGGCCCAAGCCAGAGTACCCACCCCTGTCTGTCATCCCACCATAGCATTTTGAAGCTTTGGGGCATCCAAAGCCCCTCTTGGGAGGGTAGTTACCAGCAAACTGCCAGGAAGAACAGTTGTTAACCATCGCTCAGTGGAAGTGGGGAGCTGTTCTGGGCTCTGTGCTTCAGCAGTGGGGAAACTCTTCATGTGAATATTTCTCCTATATTGATTTTCTTGACCCCTGAATTTTCTTATATAGAGCTACATGCTGATTCATCACATTCCCTTTTGTCCTAGAATATTTTGTCTTAATTGCATTACTCATCTGATCTCTTAATGTTTAACGTGACTTTTTGGGTTCTCATGAGACCACTGGTACCCAGTGTCTGAGAAGGTTCAGATTCCTTCAGAGCTTATGGCTGGAGGGCCCTACAAAGACAAGTGCTCATAAGGAGAAGGCATGGGAGGAGATCCAAGAATAACCCCTGAGGGGAGGCTACCATGCCTGAATGCCTTCTCCCATCTCTCCTCATAATAACATCCTCCCAGTGCATGGATGGCGTGGGTCATTAGGGCATTGGGAGGGGTTGAAACTGGAAGGCACTACGAAGTGGGACAGTTTGTTTTCTCTTGTGCAAACCTTGTTCAGAATTTGTGCTTTGGAGCAAGGTGGAAGACACTCTTGTCCAAATGGGTGTCACGATACCAGTGAAGACCACCAAGATGTCCTCAACCTTTGTCATCTTTTAAGTCACTCCAGGGTCTTAATAAGTGCTTTTAACACTAAACTGAAATTTAAAACATTGAGGTCCCAGAACTGGAAACATGGGACAAGGGGACACAATGTGGGTGCCTGGCTGTTTTGTTTGGGTGGGAATAGGAAGAAAAAACGGGGTGCCGGGGAGAGATGGGCAGTGACTGAAGTCAGAATTCCCGCAGTGGCCTCCCACCAATTCCACAACCTTGGCTCAAGTGCCCCCCCCCCCCCAGCACCGGCTTCCAAGTCCAATCGCCTCACTGGGAGGAGCGGGGGCAGGCTCTGGCTGTCTTGATCCAGGGATCATCCATTCTCAGAAAGAAAGCTGAGCAGTGCTCACCTTGGAGGTTGCACTGAGCTGTTCAGACTGCGGTTAACAGGGTAGCCCCTGCTCACATTCCCACATATGGGCTGACTCTCTGGTTTCCAGGAGGACTTTCCACCACTTGTAATCTCATCTCAACTAAAATAAATCAGCTTGTCTTTCTATGTTCCTCCACCCCCAGGCAGGTACTGGTTTGCGGTGCCAACTGCACTGGTGATGAAGGGCAGGAGGGGGAATAACAGTGAGTTTGCAGGATGCCCGCTGTACTTCCTAGAGTTATGAATAGCTCAGCTCCCAGAGGGGAGACTTCTCAAGTTCATCCTTTACAATTGACTCTTGGTTTAGATGGGAAAGTTATTCTGAGTAATAACTATTTCCTTCCTCCTGAGTCCACATAATGAAAAAGTGATACTTCCTACTTAGGACTTCATGTTCAGTAAACATAGCTCTCAGTTCTGGAAAAAAATAAATTGCTCTCTAAAGGGCAATGGGGTTTTTGCTACCTGCATTGATCATGCAGCCTTTCAGTCCTGGGTGGTTTTTGTTGACCTCTGTGAAGATTACATACCCCAAAGACATGACAAGGCCTAAACTTTTAAAACACTAGTGACATTCCAGGCAGGCTGTGAAAGTTTGCAGTAAATATGAAAAAGCACTCTCAACTCAGATCACGAGGTGAGTGCTATATTGAACACAGAGGGAAGTTGCTACCCAAAGGCTATTTGTCCCTCATCTGACTGCACTCCCAGTGTTTTAAGGTCCCTCTAAGTGAGTTGCCCCTCTGCCACTGCCACCCGGGGTGTCCTCGGTCATGAAGGAACACTTAGGGAGCACATTTTCAAAGTCCCCACTCACCTCTAGCTGGAGACCTGCTGTGATCCCAGCCTTTGGTGTTGTGGTGACTTCCAGTGGTCAAGACGTTAACAGTCTCAGGGGTTTCAGAAAGGTGTGACTAGGAAGCAGCGATCCTGCAGATCTGCAGGAACTATACTTTTATTTTTAGCACTAAAAGCTCTGGGTCTGATGATGATCACAGAGGGAGGTCCTGGTCGGAGATTCAGTCTCCTCCCTGCTGCTCACCAGCTGGGTCATCCCAGGGACAGCCCTAATCATCGGCATCGACCAAACAAGAAGGCCAGACTAGATCCATGGTTCTCAAACTGGAAAGTTCGTAAGAATCATCTGGGCAACATATTAAATCCATGGTTCTCAAACTGGAGAGTTCGTAAGAATCATCTGGGCAACATATTAAAAACAAGGACCGCTAGGTCAACTCCCAGAAATTCTGATTTTAAAAGCTCTCCGTTGATGTTGATGCTGATGGTCTATGGAACACAGTTGGGAAAATGCTGGACCAGATAGAAGCCTTCTGCCCCCACCACCAAGTCTCTGATGGGCCCCAGCTATGATATTAAATTGGATTCTCTGATTGGCTTTAGTGTTTTAGTGTTCCATTTCTTTTCACAAACTATATTTTAATTATTGGGGAATTGACCATCTATTTATCGCAATTACATTTGGAAACATTTAAGAAGGTCGTAGTTCTAAGGTGAGTTTCTTTGGGCAAAGGGCTAAGTACATGAAGTGAGCCGATGAGGAGGTGGCTGTGCGTCAGTTATCCTACAGAGAATCTCTGGGGAAGAACCGCATGTAGTTGTAATTCTCCTCTCGGCGTCTTTTCCCCGTTCCCCATTCCGCTCCTCTCTCGTCTCCCTAGTCCACCCTCTGCTGTGGTTTTCCGCTCCCCTGATTTCTGACGGCGAAGGCGGTGAGAAGACAGCTGCTGCCCCAGGTGAGAGCAGCCAGGAAGAGGGAGCCAGGGCTTCCGCACGGCTGGTCTCAGCCTTGACCCGGTGGGTGTGCACGTCCAGCGTCACTAGGAAGCCCCCATTCTTTGGCTTTTGGGGATTCTTATCAGAACAGGAGGAGCCATCAGCAGTTTTTACTTTGCCCTGACAACATTGAAGCTTGAATCAAAAGATTTGAGGGAAACCAGAATCCCCTGCTCATTAGGACAAGTGGAGCTCCAGCTTGAGTCACGATGAAGCTGGAATTCCGGGTAAGATGGTTTTGTATCTCTGCATCTGCTCATTCAAATACTTCCACAGCAGATACCATCTAGCGATTGTATCAGTTCCTCCTGTCGTTCATTCATTCAACAAGCATTCGTCAGGGTGCCCAGCACTAGGGACAAGGTGTGCAATGAAGACATGGACTCTGCCCCAAAAATACCACTTCGACAAGTGCTACCAACAGAAGGACGATGGCACTCTGGTCTCGGGAAGGTCAGGGGAAGCCTTCCTGAGGAGGTAACAATGAGCTGAGATTTGAAGACAAGTAGGAGAGATCTAAATGAAGAGAGGATGGAAGGGTGTCCTGGGTAGAGGGAACAGCATGCACAAAGCCACATGGCAGGGAGGAACTAGTGCGTACAGGCTACTGAAAAATAGCTTTTATGGGAAAATAGCAAATCGTATTCCCCCTTGTACAGAGGAAGAGGGCAAAATCCTGACCTGTCTACCTCACATGAGGATCGAGGGGTGTTCTCAGAGATGTCTTGTGAACCATGCTGCCTGATATGTGAACTAATATGATTCATGGTAGTGAATTTTGCAATGGGAAATTTAAAGCACGTGCTATTTTATTAAGAAATTTCTATAAATTTTCCTTTGACTTGCGCTTCCAAATAATAAACCAAATGTTGCTTAGTTTAATTTTCAAGTTGGTGAAGCTTCCTTTCCTGTTGCTAATTTAAATCACTGAAAGTGAGTTTTGATTAATCTGGGATAGGAAATTTTGTCTTTCTTAATTGAAAACATTTTTGAACCAATAGAATACTGCACTAAATTATCCAGGACATGGCAGGGCTAGAGCTAAGGAAATCTTTTTTCTGTTTCTTTTTCTAAATCCCAGCTTTCAAGGGATTATTTTCTCCAAACTCTTACAACAATCTCACTGAAAAGAGTTATTGAAATCTCAGTCACTTCAAATGACTTCTCTCTGCTAATTAAAAACAAAAATCTCCCTGGCTTCTTTGTGTCGATGTGCCTAATCCTGATAATGCATACTATATACATTATTAGAGGAGCTAACAATCACTTTCACAGATTTCTATCTTATTTAAACCACCCAACATCCTATAACTGGAGGATGGTGGGGAGATGATCTCCAAGGGTGATGAAGTCAGATTGCCTCTTCATTTTAGACTATAAAATAGGTATGTGATGAATCAGATCTGAATTAGAGCCAGTTACCTTGAACAGAAAGATTGAGCTTAAGGTGTTAACTAAAGAAAGAATGTTTTATGTCAATCAGGAGAAGAATGAAGTCAAAGGTTCATACTATCAGGGCCAGCCCCGTGGCTGAGTAGTTAAAGTTTGGCACGTTCCACTTCGGTGGCCCTGGTTCATGGGTTTGGATCCCAGGTGTGGACCCATACCACTTGTCAACCGTGCTGTGGCAGCGACCCACGTGCAAAATAGAGGAAGATTGGCACAGATGTTAGGTCAGGGAGAATCTTCCTCACCAAAAAAAAAAGAAAAGTTCATACTGTAGCCAACAAGCTGGCTCCTGAATGATCTAGCTCCCGCCCGCCTCTCCAGACTCATTTCTTGCCGCTCTTTGTCTCACACACTCAGCCCCAGCCACGCTTCCCTGCTTACTGTCCCTGGAACACACAGAACTTATTCCTGCCTCAGGATCTTTGCACTTGCTGTTCTCTCTCTGCCTGGGATTCTCTTCCTCCTGATATTCTTGTGTCTCACTCTCTCATTTCCTTTAGATCTCTGCTCAAATGCATTTCCTCAAAGAGGCCTTTTCTGACCAAGCTATCTTTTGTAACCATCCCCACCACTCTTCATCTGCTTCCCTGCTTAAATTTTTTTCTGTAACACTTACCACCAACTGACATACTTTATACACATATGTGCACACACACACTTCTTGTTAGAGCTGTTTGAGGTTCATAGCAAAATTGAGTAGAAAGCGCAGAAATTTCCCATATAACCCCTGCCCCCACACATGCACAGCCTCCCCCATTATCAGCATCCCCCACCAAAGTGGTGCATTTCTTACAATTGATAAGTCTACACTGACATGTCATTGTCAGAGTTTACATGAGGGTTCCCTCTTGCTGTTGTACGTTCTATGGGTTTAGACAATTTATAATGACGTGTATCCGTGATCATGGTATCACGTAGGATAGTTTCACTGCCCTAAAATCCTCTGTGCTCCACCTATTCATCCCCTCCAACCCCCACAACCACTGATCCTTTCACTGTCTCCAAAGTTTTGCCTTTTCCAGAATGTCATATAGTTGGAATTATACAGAGTGTAGCCTTTTCAGATTGACTTCTTTCACTTAAGAACATGCATTTAAGGTTTTTTTCATGGCGTGATAGCTCGTTTCTTCTTAGCGCTAAATGATATTCCATTGCCTGGATGTCCCACAGTTTATCCATTCACCTACTGAAGGACACCCCGGCATGAACCACAAAGGGCAGCTGGCCCTGAGCTAGGGAATGCTTAGCTGAGTTTGAAGTCTCAAAGAAAGAGAAAGAGAGGAGAAGGAAGGGAGGAAGAAAAGGAGGGAGGGAGGGAGTGAGGGAGGATGAAGGAGGGAAGAGGGAGGGGGAAGGAGGAGAGGAGAGAAGGAAAAAGGGAGGGAATAGAAAGGGAGGAAAAGGAGGGAGGGAAGGAGGGAAGGAAAAAGGGAGGGAGGAAGGAGAGGAAGAAAAAGTCTGCAGACTCTAGAACCCAACTGCCTAGTTTGAATGCAGGTTCTGCTCCTCACAAGCTGGATCAGCTAGAATCAATTAATTAACTTCTCTGCGCCTCAGTATGTCCGTCTCTAGAGACAGTAATAACAGTACCTGCTTCATGGGCTGTACAAAGCTTCTAGAACAGTGCCTTGGCCTAAGTTGGTACTGCGTAACTGTTGACGGTTCATCTTACAGGAGTGGAGTAAGGGTGCTCAGGCCGTATGAGCCTCATCTGGCTGGTGGAGGAACCGGCAGACACTGTAAACAGCAGGTGCCAAGTCCCAGAGGCCAGGAGGCAGTGGGCTTCCAGGAACCATAAGAAGCTCAGGGGGAGGAATGGTGCCCTGTACTATTTCTTTTAAATATTCATGACACTATGTGGTGTTAATTATTATCCCCACGTTACAGACGAAGAAGTCCAGCAGCGTTGGAGTTGGGGCAGCGGGCAGGAATGGGAGTGCTGCTCTTCAGAGCTGGTGCCCTTAACTAGAGTTTCCAAGTTCCTAACAGACGGTAATCTTCGGGATTTGGGAATTCCAGAAATTATGTTATGCTTAAAATAATTCCAACATTCTTCATACTGCATACTTGTTATTATGAATATCTAAAAAAAGTTTGTAAATAAAAACAATGTTAAGTTTAGTTGTATTTACAAAGAGCTGTAACCTGTAGACCAGCATTGTCCAATATGAATATAATGTGAGATGTAATTTGAAAAGTTCTTGCCAAAAGAAATGGGTAAAATTAATTTTAATGATATATTTTATTGAAACCAATATATCTAAAATGTTATCATGTCAAAATATAATCAATATAAAAACTATTAATGAGATATTTTGCATCTTTTTATTTATGCTCATTCTGTGAAGTCTAGCACATCTCAGTTTGGCTGAACCACATTTCAAGTGTTCAGTAGACACATGTGACACTATATTAGTGCAGCTATAGAGAATATTCAAACACTGGAAAATGCCAGCAAATATTGGGTATAGTATTTAAATAATGTAACACTTGGACCTAGCAAGGTTAATAACGCTACACAGAATCACTTTTGAAATTGCCAGTTAAAGAACTAGTTTTGCTTCTAAAACATTATTTCTTGGGACACCAGTCATGGGGTTTGTAACGTATACAGTGCAGACAAACTATCAATGTTTATTTTGTTTGCATGGATGACTCACCACTAGCAGCAGACAAACCACGAACGCACACACAAGGCAGCAGCCACAGCAGCTGATAGATGAGATCATGACCACTGTGTTCCTGTCCCAGTTCCTGGAAACACCAGCCTTAACCTTTGCCTCCCAACGTCAGCTCTTGCTTGACGTCGATGGATTACTTTGAAAAAGTGACATCTCTACGCAGATTGCTACGTTTTAATTATTGCAGAAGAATTAGAATACTTTTTCCAGTTTTCTCAATTTCTTGACTGATTTTTCTTGGAATTTATTAAAACATAAATTTCCTGAGACATGCTGAGAATAATCTTTGCTTGGAAACACCACTCTTATCCTCTGGGCTTTGCTATTATAACGGCTACAACAAAGACGATCTGGGACCTGTGGGTGGCTGTGTGGAATGGACAAGACTTTGAAGAAGACCACAAGTGACTTCACCTTCTCTATCTTTGACATATTTAAACACTTTCTTTCCTTTCAGTTCAGCCTAGTGATTCTATCAAAAGTATGCTACATTTGTGTTAACAATTTAAATACTTGAACACTAGGTGATAATTTAATGGGAAGAGGGTGGAGAAATCTATCTTACTAACAAATGTTGACTACTGGGAACATAAATCAATAAGTAATCATATTGTCATTGTCTTGACCTTGTTGCATAGCAGCAAAGGCACTAAACTGGGAATGAACATCATGTTGTCTCACCCACACCTGTCTCCCATGACCATATAGTCTTGAACAATATTATGTCTTGTCTGTGAAATCCATTTACATCAAGGGCATATGGTGTACACCTAAAATCCAGATTTCCTAGTCTTAAGGTGAAGGGTCAGATGTAACAAAACACTGTAAAGAAAATTTATTTCAGAATAAAGTATTTCACATGAATAGACTATGAGTTAGACACTTTAAAAAAGTAAACCACCACTGTAAAAGGTTTCTTATAAAATTCCTGTCCAATGAGATCATGACCTAAGTTAGGTGGTTTATAAAAATTTGTAGGGAATCCTAAAAAATGATAATACTCTATTTTAATTTAAAATAAGTAAACATGCATTCAGTAATCTTTTGATGTAAGGCCAAGATCTTTTCTTTCTGTATGGTCTGCTGATTGGAGTTCCTCATTATTTTTCTTGAATAAATCTTGCCCGTAATGTGTTTTCTGTGATTATTTCAGCATCTTTCAAGTGGAGCTAGAACTTAAAGCAGTTTCAAAACAATCTGAGTGCAGAAATCTTCTAGATTTGTAAGACTAGATTTCTTCTCCTCTTAGTTGTCCTGACCACACCTAATTTTTGAAATTTATTTTTAAATTATCATACAGTAAAATTTATCTTTTTTTGTTTTGGTATACAGTTCCATAAGTTTTAGCCCATGTATAGATTCATGTAACTACCACCATAATCAAGAGACAGAACAGTTCCACCATCCAAATTCCCACATGCTATCCCTTTAAAGTGACATCTTCTCCTAACCCGTAACGCCTGGCAACCACTGATCTGATCTTAATTCCTATAGTTTTGTTTTTTCAAGAATGCTATATAATGGAAACATAGAATATATCAACTTTTGATCCTGGCTCCTTTCATTCAGCATGTTTTTGAGATTTGTCCAAGTTGTTACGTTTCAGTAATTTGTTCATTTTTATTGTTGGGTAATATTCCATTGTATGGATATACCACAGTTTGTTTATCCATTCACTTATTGAGGGGCATTTGGGTTGTTTCCAGTTTGGGCTATTATGAATAGAGCTGCTATAAATATTTGTGTATAGGTTTTTGTGTGAACATAAGTTTTTATTTCTCTAGGGTAGATACCTAGGAGCGGAGCTGCTGGGTCATGTATTAAGTATACGTTTAATTTTATCAAAAACTGCCAAACCAATTTCCTGAGTGTATTCCCACCAATAATATATTAGAGTTCCAGTTGCTCTTATTCAAACTAGCACTTGATATTGTCAGTATTTTTAATTTTAGCTCTTCATATAGGGGTGTAGTTTTATTTCTTAATGGCTTAAATTTGGATTTCCCTAAAGTTAATGGTGTTGCACATCTTTTCATTTGTTCTTTTATTATCCTTATAGCCTGTCTGGTAAAGTGTCTGTTCATGTTTTTCACCCATTTTTAAATTGGGTTGTTACTTTGTTATTGTTGAGTTTTGAAAGTGCTTTATATGTTCTGAATAAAGTCTTGTTGATATGTGATTTGCAAGAATTTTCTCCCAGTCTGTAGCTAATCTTTTCATTCTCTTAACAGTGTTTTGTGTGGAGTGAATGTTTTTAATTTTGCAAAAGTCCAATTTATCAATGTTTTCTATATGGATCATACTTTTGGTGTCATGTCTCTTTGCCTAACCCCAGGTCAGGTAGATTTTCTCCTATGTTTTCTTCTCAAAGTTTATAGTTTTACATTGTACATTTAGACTTCTGATCCATTTTGAGTTAACGCTTGTATGAGATGTGGAATGTAGGTCAAAATTCATATTTTTACATATGGATATCCAATTGTTCCAAACATTTGTTGAAAAGCTATTCTTCCTCCATTGAATTGCTTTTGTACCTTTGTCAGAAATCAGTTGGCCATACTTGTGTGGGTCTATTTCTAGACTCTATTCTGTTTCATTGATCTATCCATTTTTCAGTTTCACACTGTCTTGATTACTGTTGTAATGTAATTCATCCAATTTTATTCTTCTTTTTCAAAATTGTTTTAGCTATCCTAATTCCTTTGCATTTCCATCTAAAGTTTAGAATCAGCTTGTCTATGTAAAATACAGCTGGAATTGCATTTAAATCTATAGATCTATTTGTGGAAAATTGACATCTTTAGTCTGTTGAGGCTTCCAATCAATGAACATGGTATGTCTCTCCTTTTATTTACATCTTCTTTGATTTCTTTCCTCAATGTGTTGTAGTTTTCAGCTTACAACCTGTACATGTTTTCTTAGATTTATACCTAAACATTTCATTTTTTGTGAATTATAAGTGCTATTTACAAAAGATTTTTGGTCTCGAATTATAGATTGCTATTGTATAAAATGGTGGATTTTTGCCAAAACGTATTTTTTTTAAAAAATATTTTAAGCGACTTGCCTTTATAGATATTTCGAAAGCATTCTACTTTATATTCATGGAAATAACAACTCTTTTCACACTAAGATTTTGTTGGTTTGCATATTATATAATTAGATTGTATAATTATTATAATCTGTACAAGTGGCATAAAGAGGTTTGGGAACAATCTTAACTAACTCCTGATAAGCACACACATCAACTGGTGGGGGCAGAAGGATGTCTGTGTATTACAGCAGTCTACTAGCTTCAAGGACTCAACATGCCCACAGATGAGTAAACAGAGGATTGATTGATCCTGAGAGTTAGTTAAGTGAAGGTCATTTAAGAGAGCTTCTACT